TCTAATTGAAATATATCTTTGTATATCTAAAAAATTTATTTAACAAGGCTATAAGTTTGATTTTCATAGATTACTATAATCTGTATTTCTTAATGATACATTACAATTTTAAATGAGTTGCATAAATATAATAACTTAAACAAGAATAGAAATGTACATAGAGTATAACAAAATTGACCTTAAATTTGTATTAATAAATCAAAATCCATATCAATGTAAAGTATTTTGAAATTAACAGTTGTTTTTTGGATTAAAGTAGATTCAATAATTTACCTTTTTCTCATCATTTTTATATACTATCTCCCTTTCTTCTTTTAGAAAGAGATTGACTATGACCAAAAACAACTTGTAACCAAGCCCCTAAACAAAGACAAACATCCATAATCCATTTTGGGGGGAATGTGGGAGTAGTTTTCTAGGCTATTTCCTGCTGATAGTGGTGTTGTTAATCTGTCCTGACTAGAGTAGTCTGTGAGGCTGGATCATCTCAACCAGTTATCTTGAAGCTGTTCTGGATGTTTGATCATCTGGAGACCTCTCAGGGGGGGTCTTCCTTGATGAAACCATATTAACCTGGAAGGAATCCATAGCTTCTCATCTTTTGTAGAAACAAAAATAGAACCCTTTTCCAAAGCAACATATCCTTAGACCCAAAGTTTGAAGTCAAGATACCTTTAAAATATATATATTGGTTTAACTCAACAATGTTTATAATCAAATGTTTCTTTCTAGTTAAAAATCCCAAAGACAGCATAATCCAGATTCTCTGTGTAATTTCCATCTTTATGTGGCTTATTATATTTTTATATATTATTTTATTTTTTAAGACTTTGTTTTATTTTTGTGATTATCTATAGCCTTTCTCTTCTCTCTCTCAAGCCTATGTATCTTTTTATATATAATGTAAACTGTTTAGAGTTTCATTCTATCTGAATCTGTCTTATTGTGTATCTATAATCCCTTTTTGGCCAGGAGAGATTTTAAACTGTTAAACTGAATGGCTAGGATGTAAGTGGTAGCCCTGGCTGCTGATTCCTCCCCAATCAGCTTCCCAATATGGCAGAGGTACATTTACCACCAGCTCTGGGAGCCATGCTCATCGCCAACTCTGGGAAGCAGTCTATGCCTCCATCAAGCAGTGTATAGACTAGAAATCTGTTTTTTTTTTTTGTCTATATTAGCAAAAGCCAACCTCACCATGCCATGCGCAGCACAGCTTAGAGACATCTCTGTGCACTGCAGTGGGAATTATCGATGCTGTGCTCAAGCTCAAATGCTGCAGCATCTCTGCACCATGGCCCTCATGAGAGACATGAACTAGGAAGCTCCTCTTATCTACATTTATAATCTCTTCTTAATTCTTAATCTCTTCTTAGGTTTTAGGTGGAAACTCTTGCCCCATGTTGGGTGCCAATTGTAGCTGGAAGTTTCTCCAGTCATACCCAGCCCCAAGGTCCTGCAGCTGCTTATACAATAATCACTCAGAGGCTTAATATTAATTACAAATTGTATGGCCTATGGCTCAAGCTTCTTGCTAGCTAGCTCTTATAACTTAACTCAATTCATTTTTTTTAATCTATGTATCGCCATGCCACATGTTCCATAGCTTTACAAGTGTTTCATTACATGTTGCTCCTTGGAGAGTGGGCTGGTGTCTTCCCAACTCTGCCCTTCTCTCTGTTTCTTTGCTTGGATTTCCCACCTGTTTGTAAGCTGTCTTGCCTTAGGCCAAAGCTGCTTTATTTATTAGCTAATGTGAGCAACATATATATTCCTAGCATACAGAAAGATATCCTATAACAATCAGTCTTCCTCAAGGACAAGCCCCTGATAGGTTATCCTATCCCAAGTAGTCAGCAATAAACACACATACACATGAGCAACATCATGAGAAAGCCAGGTATAGTGGTACACACCTTTAGTCCCAGCACTGAGAAGGTAGAAGCAGGCAGATCTCTGTGAGTTCCAGGCCAGCCTGGTCTATATTGCAAGTTCCAGGAAAGCCAAGGCTCATATAGAGACCCTATCTCAAAAAAAACTAAAGTAGATAATAAATAAAAGAAAGTAGATTAGGTACTACAGAAAAAGAAAGACAGCCAACAAACAAAATATTAGTGAATTGGAAGGCATGTCATTAGAAACTGTCCAAAATGAAAGACAGAGAAAAATAACAAACAAACAAACAAAACACAACAGAGCATTAATGAACTGTTAGCAGCCTTGAGTAGCCCAATTATATATGCTGTTATCACTGTAAAGAGGGAAAACAGAAGATAGGAAACAAAATAATTAACAACTGAAACTTTTCTAAATGAGTTGGAGAACATAGAGATCTGGGAAACTCAATAAGCCCTCAATAGTTTATATGAGCAAACCACACCAAGCACATGGTAATCATTCTGGAGTGGGGCTCCTCTCGCTGGGCAGCATTGTAATGGCCACACAACCTTCAAAGAAGAGGGAGCATGGAGCAGTTTAATGATGCAAGTATGCCCTTCAAGATGCTCCCCAAAATCTCAGTTATCTTCTGCACCTTTTAGCAGAGTGTTCGGGAGAGGAACAGAAAGTAGGCTGCACATGATAAACCCAGTACAACATCATTATTTCTCTAAGCCTATAAACTGTGTCTCTATACAAAACCAGGGGAACTCTAGCATACATTCTTCATGAAATGTAGGCCATCTTTAAATCCAAGTTTTAGTGAAGGATTGGTACTAAATTTGAACATACAATCCAGAATTTCTAGTGAGCACTCCAAAACAATGAATTCAGTCAAGTCTACAATGTTGTGTCCACGTTGGACAAATAGCCTCAGAATGTACTCCCACGTGTGTTCTCCATGTTTCTGTTGCTGTGCATCATTACCAATGTCTTTAAATTCTTGTGACATGTATGTTATTTCATACCAGGTCATGGTGTGTGTTTATCCGTTAGGAAGATTGGAAGCTTTGATTCAATCCAAGTGGCAAGGGGGAAAAAGAGTGATTGTGATGGTCTTAAGGCCAAAAGATATGACTTTCAAGGTTTTTTCCCCCAGGTGAGGATTTTGCTAACAAGAATGAAATTGCCATAAAGTACATGTCATATCACATGACCAATGGCTGAACAAAGACTCAGTATCAAGTGGGAAACAACAGCCTGAATGAGTCTTGCAACATGTTATATGTGCTTTGAATTAGAGGCCATTACATGGTGTCATCCTCTCTATTACCAAAATATATGGGTTTGTGAATAAAAGAGTGGGAGAAAAACTATCTTTAAAAAGAAGTTCAGGGCTGGGCAGTAGTGGCACACGCCTTTAATCCCAGCACTCGGGAGGCAGAGGCAGGTTGATCTTTGTGAGTTTGAGGCCAGCCTAGGAACTCATAGAATGAGTTCCAGGACAGGCTCCAAAGCTACACAAAGAAAGCCTGTCTCAAAAAACAAAAACAACAACAACAACAACGAAAAAAAAAGTTCAGAACTAGCTACATGGCTCAGTGAGTGAAGGCACTTGCTTCTAAGCCTCATAGCCTGGGTTCAATCCCCAGAATCCACACTGTAGAAGGAGAGAGAAAAAATGTACAAACTGTCCTCTGACTTCCATAGGTACACTGTAATAACCACGCCCCCACATACAAAACTGACCAATAAATGCAATAAAAAGATTTAAGTTAATTCAAAATTTTACCCAGAAAAAGGATCTTACAATCTAGAAATAGCTATTTCCAGCCCTTAGTCTAATTTCCTCCCCACTTTTATTAGGTAATAGAGCAGTTAAAACTATGGATATTCAATTTTAGGTAACTAAAATGTTAGAACTTTTATACAGTGTTCTACAGCATCTTATAAAATGATAACCTCATGATAAAAGGAATGAGCAAAGACTACCCAAATGAGCAGCAGAGTGTCACATGCACATGTCAACACAAGACCACATATATAAAAAATTATATAAACAAATGTAAAAATATTTTAATAAAATAAAGAGTGCTAGAGAGATGGTTCAGTAGTTAAGAGCACTTGCTGCTCTTTCAGAGGGCCCAAGTTCAATTTCAGTACCAATGTTGGGTGGCTCACAATCACCTGTAATTCCCCAGAGGTTCTGAGGGCACCTGCACACATTTAGCATACATTCACACAGACATATACACATAAATTAGTGTGTGGGTATGTCCTTTGAGCAGAATACTTCAATTTAGCTTAAGAAAACAATCAGATTTTTAAGTAACAGTGTAGCTTATAGAAAAAATTGCTAAAAAGAAAAACACAACAAAACAAAACCCAAACAAACAAAAAAGAAACCACTAAACTTCTTTTTCAAAACTATTAATGCTCAGTGTAAGCAGGAAGTTTTCAGACTGAAACGCAGGACACCCATCATCCAGTTGTTTCCATATTATAGCCTTGCATATGTGCTATGGAAAGAGGAGACAAGTTTAGGGCTCTCTCTTTGCATGTTTCCCTTTGTCTTCCCTCTACTTTTTAATAGTTTTCTTCTATTGTGAGACAGGTTGGTCTTCAACTAGTCATCATTCCCCTTCTGCCTCCCAAGAGTTGGTATTACAGGCATGCATCACCCCACCCAGACATGCAGACACACACACACACACACACACACACACACACACACACACACACACGGACATAGACACGCACACACGCACACATGCATGCATGCACAAGACATCCTTCTTAGAGGAACAGAGTATTGAACTACCCTTAAGATTACAGATTCATGGTTAAATAAGGTGGCTGACAGGTCCCTTGTTGAGCTGTGCACACAGCATGCACTACATTGCTGTCCTTAATAGTCTAGAGCAGCTGTTGGCCTGTCAGTGGATATACGGCTGCAAAAAAGTTGGGATATTGAACCAATATGTGTTCCATTACCCCTTACTTATTTGTGCCAATTGATGGGAGCTGAAATATGGAAAACATCAGCAAGATAATAGTAGATTAATTTATGCTTGGACTTGGAATAAAATCAGACACATGTGCTTGGATGCGAATGTACTCACCCCCCATAAGCCTCTGGGCTTTATCCTCACCACTTCTTGGCTTAGATCCTCTATGCAGCCTGGGGCCATCAAGGCAGTCCTGGAGAAGTCCCTGGAAACCAAAGACTATGTGAGGCAAGAGTTTTCAGTGACAGAAACTTGGCTCTGTATCATGGATATGTACACATACAAATATAGAACCACCCATAAATAATTAGCCATATACTAGTATTCAACCCAGAGAAGTCAATTTTCCATGGCTCTTTGGCTAAAGCTAGGTTTTTATTTGCGTGGAATCCTTCAGAGTTGGTAGAAAACAGTGACTGAGCCATGGGGCAAAGTGAGACTGCGAGCCTTTTGTTTTCAAATTATTGCTGGTATGGTAACACATGCCTGGAATCCTAGCACTCAAAAGGAGGAGGCCGGGAGAGCAGGTCATTCTTTGCTACATTACAAGTTCAGGGCCAGCCTGGGCTAGATGAGAACCGACCTCATAAAAACAAAATGAAACCACCACAACAAAGAATTTATTTCAGGATTGTGACAACAGAACATTAAGTTCAGGGCTCTGTAAATGCCAGGTCAACTGCACATGAAGCCAGGCTGGGGCTGGGTCGGGTACACACAGTACCAAATCCTGTTTTTCATTTACAAGCTGGCTATCTTGGAAAAGCCACTTAAACTCCAAGTTTCTCTTTTGTTATCCATAAAACTCTGGTAACTTGGTGCGGCGGCACATGTTGGTAATCCTAGCACGTAGAAGCTGAGGCAGAAGGGTCACTGCAAGTTCAATGCTGGCCGGAGCCACAAAGTGATTTTAAGGCTAGCGTGGGACACAGTCAAGCTCTGTGAGTAAGCGTATTTAAAATATAGTAGGACCATGATCATAGTGAAGCCCTCCAAAAGGTCTTCCAGATTAGAGAGCACACTAGGGGTGCCTACACGGTACCCAGCTTTTGAGATGGTCTTTCTTCTCTCTGCTACATATTGCAGTTAGAGTTCATGACCAAAAGATGCAGACTTGGAGGTCTCTCCCTAATTTCAAAGATCCTTCTCCAAAACCCAAAGTTAAAATGCCTATTTGAGATATGAGGACCTTTGGTATCAAGGTTTTTATTGGCCCGTTGAAGGCTTGCCACCTCTCTCTCTCCCTCATCAAAATTCAAATGATAATGTGTGATCATTTTCTCGTTTCCTTAAGGAGCAGAGGTTATATTAGGGGGGCTGGAGAGATGGCTCAGAGGTTAAGAGCGCTGGCTGCTCTTCCAGGGGTCCTGAGTTCAATTCCCAACCACCACAAGTTGGCCCACAACCATCTATAATGAGATCTGGTGCCCTCTTCTGGTGTGCAGGCATACAAGCAAGTAGAACACTGTATACAAAATAAATAATTAAATAAATATTTTAAAAACAGTGTGTTTTAGGAGAGAGAGAGAGAGAGAGAGAGAGAGAGAGAGAGAGAGAGAGAGAGAGAGAGAGATTGATTGATTGATTGATTGATTATATTAGGCCCAGGTGACACATAAAAATGCCTCTTTGTGCTGGATGCTGTGCTAAACAGCCTGTTGGAACACTCCTGTTACGAGAACACACTCCTGATGTTTCGTGCCCCTGAGGGGGTGTGTAAGACTCCTGGGTATTTTCTAACACTACTGGATGCCTCAGCCTCCTCACCTTCCTTCACTGGGGAGGAGTGATGTCTCTCTCATCCGCAAGTTCCAAAGCAACAGTATTTGCAATTCAAGCTCTTTGTAAAACAAGTCTTCTTCCAAGATGTTAGGTATGCTATAAGCTTAGTATCAAGGGCTTTGGCTGTGAGGGGATGGATTACTCAGGACTATCTGTGCTTTGGGTATTCGGCTTCAGGCGACTGAAGCCAGCCGATGTCCATGTCATGAATGCCAAGTCTCCAGTGGGCCTTACTCTTGTCTGTTTCTTAATTGGTTCAGAACTTGGGTGTGGAGAGCATGTGTTAATCGTGAGGCTGCCCAAGGGTCCCTGTACAGTCCACAGAGTCACCTCCTTTAAAGTATGTAACCACGATGTGACCTTAACATTTTATCACCCTGTTTGTACAGATAAGGAAGTGGCACGATCCAGATCCAAATGGATTTCCGTGCTGCCAAAGATGGTGCCCTGAAAGGCTCCCATTTTGGTTCCATATGAAAGTTTAATAGTAAGTGGATAAGAACATTCAAAATTTGGGTTGATGTTGAAAAGAAAGTTAACACAGTATTATATCCACTATACTTACATTCTGTTTGGCAGAGAAGTAAGCCAGGCTAAACTTAAATTCAACACATGCTGAATTTTATTTTAGGGAGAACAGGCTGCAACCACAATAAAGAACTGTATTTGCAGCTGACAGCAGTACCCATGTGACTCCATAGATCTCACACTACAATCTGAAGAGTACATTTTGTGATCTGCAGGATCTGAGACATAAGCAATGGAGAGGGTGTTTCTAGAGGTTTCCAATCAACCACCACAGAAGCAGCAAGTTTTATTGTTCTTACAGTGGGGTGTTACTCTGTAGCTCTGACTGACCTAGAACTCACTGGGTAGCACAGGCTGACTTTAATCTTGAGGCAATCCCCCTGCTTCATCCTCCTGAGTGCTGGGATTACAGGCATGAGCTGCCACAAGTAGCTAAAAACTCACAATTTCTTAAGATTGTTCTTTCATCTTCTCTCTGCAGGTAGAAGAGATCTCATTCAAAGTAAGTTTGCTCTGCTTTGAGCACCTGAATATTTTCAACCTTCTGTGACTTCCTCTATACTCTTTCTGGGGAAGGTTTGACTTCCTCATCCCTTTGTAGGAAAGGAACTCAGACATATAAGAAATCTGACTGCTTATTCATAGCCATGTGAAGGATGAATTCTGCCTACTCTTGTGCCTTCATGTGAGTATGTAAATGAGACATCAAAATTTAAAAAATAGCCACCAAGCATGTGTAATCTTAGCATTCAGGAGGCCGAGGGAGGAGGATCATGAGTTTGAAGGCAGCCCTGGCCATGTAGTAAGATAGTCCTTTAAAAAAAATCGTTGAAGCCGGGCGGTGGTGGCGCACACCTTTAATCCCAGCACTCGGGAGGCAGAGCCAGGCGGATCTCTGTGAGTTCCAGGCCAGCCTGGGCTACCAAGTGAGTTCCAGGAAAAGGCACAAAGCTACACAGAGAAACCCTATCTCGAAAAACCAAAAAAAAAAAAAAAAAATCGTTGAGGCTGGAGAAATGGATCCATGGTTAAGAGCACTGGCTGCTCTTGTAGAAGACCCAGATTTGATTCCCAGCACCCACATGGCCTCTCACCACCATCTGTAACTCCAATTCCAGGGTATTCAATGTCTTCTTTCTGCCTCCATGGGCACCAGGCACACAAGTGCTGCACAGACATTCCTACAGACAAAACACCCAGACATACATACAATACATTTCTTTAAGTTGCTAAATCTTACATCCATGACTCAAATACTTGCCCCTATATCCCCCGTATTACCATTCTTACCTTCTGTTAAAACTCCTCCCACAACCTGATCCAATTGCACCCACCCCCCTGGTCACAAAAACGTTAACATTGCACAATGTCCTTTCCGTCATATCCAGATATGTCTGTCATGTTTGTCTAAACCTGATTCAGTACACCATGTCTCCACAAAGGAAAATACACACAAAATCGTCACAAGCATATAACTACTGTTTGTGACAGATTTACCATCTTTCCCAGCCACATTGCCTAGCTTGTTTCAATATGATGCTAAACATTCCTGGTTAATTGACTTTTGAACATCCTATCAAAAAACTGCCATTGAAACCAACACCAAGGAAACAGGATGATAAATATGACTGTACTTCATGTCACTGCTTTCCAAATATACATTCTTAAACCCACCCTAGTAGAACTTCAAGACATGCCTCATAGCAACTCTTGGCTCCTTTGTGGACTGGGTGAATGATGGCAAGCATGAGCCATCTTGGTGTGGGAAAAACAATTGATATGGCTTTGACATCACTGTCTACCAGAGAGCTTGTGTTTTCTTTTACTGTTAGCAACCCACAAGAAGTTCTAGAAAAGGGTTATAAATTCTAACCATGGGGTTTAGTCAATGTGATGGCATATCTCAGTTGTCAGCTTAGCTGCATCTGGAATGAACTAGAAACACAAGCTGCTAGACATCCCTGTGAGGGATGCTCAAGATCAGGTTATTTGAAGTGGGAAGACCCACCCTAAATGGGAGTGGTACCTTCTAGTGGCAGCCCAGATACAAGGCACAGAAGAAGGAACATTTGCTTTCTATCTGCTCACCCTTCCCCTCAGTAGCAAGTCCGTCTAGCCTGCTGCTGTAACAGCCATTCACAGATATTAGAACCAACTCCTTTGGGATTCCAATAAAGACCGAAGACAAGCAGCTCTCCACAAATTCTCCAGGCATTCAACATTAGATGGAGACCAATAGAACAACCAGCCTCATGGACTGAACAATTGCCAGATTCTTGCCCTCTCCAGTGTGAGAAGCCATTGTTGGGCTACCTAGACTACAATATCCTGAAAGCCAATCTAATAAATCCCCCTTTAATATAGATCCATTCTATCAGTTATGCTCTTTTGGAGATGTCTGGCCAATGTTGTTAGCATGCTTACAGAAAAAAAAAAGTTTCTACACAACCTGGTGACAGAGAATATTTCGCCCATTTTCTAAAACTATAGAAAATCAACTTGAGGTTCAGAAAGATCAATGATTTCTTTAAGATCATGTCAAGTGTAATGGAGTCAGGTTCAAGATATAAATTTGAATCCAAATTCCTCTTGGCAATTTGATAGTAAAAGGTGTTTAATTTCTAAATTTTCTAGAACATGTGATATAAAGAATCCAGAAAGATGGGCACCAAATGCTTGCCTTGGGTCAGAGACTCCCATCTGGCTCCAGGCTGACTCCCACAGCACATTGCAGGCTGGTTAGCCTGTCCAGAGGACTTTCTGCCTTCACCCTATCCCCACTCCCCAACCCATGGCACCCTTCACCCGCTGCTTAGACAGCTAGAAGTAGACAGGATGGTTGTGGTGATGACAGACGCTTCTAAGTCAGCTTCAAATGTCCCTTTATTATTTTTT